TTACCGCCTCATTCGTTTAGAAAACCTCTTACCTTAGACTACCAAAAAGCAACACTGCCTTTAATAATGACCAGAATATAACACAAATGATTTTATCTGAGATACTATAAAAGTTATCTTCTTTTGAAACTATTTATATCTGCAACCCAAATAACGTTCCCATCACCAAAAAAAACTAAACTCTAAAGAATTAGCATATAAGTTGGTTTTCTCTGAGTGATTCCTCTAAGCAGTTTATAAAGTGAGTTAACCTAAGAAAAGTCATTTTCAGTAATCATAGACAATGATGTTGAACAAGAACATATAGAAATGAAAATTGTGAATTTAAATAAAACCTGAACTACATATAACAGGAATAACAGTTTTTAAACATTTTACAGTTGGCTCTCCATATCCGGGAGTTCTGTAACTGCAGATGGAAAATACTTGGGAAAAAATACAAATTAAAAAATATATCACAACTACTTATATAACATGTACATGGTATTCAATATTATAAGTAATCTAGACTGAAAGCATATGGGAGAATGTGTGTAGGTTATATGCAATTATGTTATCTTCTATAAGGGACTTGAGAATCCTGGACTGTGGTATCTTGGAGTGGGTCAGGTAGCTTGTCCTGGAACCAATCCCCCATGGATACCAAGGGATGACCGTAATATGATTTTCTTTTTGCATTTCTTTGCATGACCTTCCTAGCCTGCCAGAATCATCCTTTCTGCCTCAGGAAATTTGGCTTGTGGTAGGAAGAATGTAAAGGAATGAAATGGGTTCATGCTGGGTTTTTACCTATCAAAGTGGGCTCTTGCAGTCCCCAGTGAAGCAATGGTTTTGAGTAAGAGGAATTTCTCGGTTCCCCCAAAGGACTTAGGATAGCAAAGCTTAGAGAGCTGTGGACTGAGTTTTACAATAAGCCACAGGGAACAAAAACCTAGGCTATGAAAATACAGGAAGACACACCTGCCTAGGGAATTAGTAGCAAGGTTTCTAGGATAGGAGGAAAGAGATTCTAAAAAAGGAAGCATGGAAAAATGGAATGTAGAATTTTAAAAAAACATATAGAATGGAAAGATCTACAAAGCAAAGCCCCTATTCCTTCTCCCCAGCTCCCTACCCCAGGACTAAACCCAAACCACAAATCAGGGCAGGGACTTAGTGAGAATAGGAGATGCCTAAGTTGCAAAATTTAAGCAGGCATCCCCTCTCGGTACTGCAAGCCTGAATGGGAGCTCCTCCTCAAAGTCTATACCCCAGGTGCCTTGCTAGCCTCATCTACCCAGTCCCGCTACAAAAACAGAGATGTGGTAATAGAAATATCCTAAGTCAAAAGGAAGAATCACACGCCACAGGTTTAGTGTCCTTTCTCAGGCAGATGCGGGGAAACCTGTGAGCTCTTAGGGTAGCACCAAATTCAGGGCACAATGTGGGAGAGAGAAGGCAGTGCCTGCACAGAAGTTTCCGAATGAACTGCCAGGGGGATGAGGAGATGCAGAGAGAATGAAGAATGAACAGAGGCCTGGGGATGGAAAAGAAGACTGTCAAGGGAAAGAGAGAAGACAGGAGGTGATGGGGGGTCTTTAATCGGTAGTAAGTGGGCCTAGGTTACTATTAACATACTGAGTGAGGATACATCTAGTGTACAGACACCAGTGCAAACAAGCCCCTCAAGAAGCTATCATGAACTAAAAGACAACCCAGGGGCCTATGTGTACAGGTCTGAGACCCAGTCTTCACCAACTACAGGTTGTATAAATGCTATACACTAAGGTGCCTTGGGGAGAAGGGCAATAAATCAAAGAGTCTGCCCTGGAGGATATTGCGTTTCTTTTTATTGACAAATTTTGTTTTGTGTTGTTTACTTTTCCCTTGAAAAGTACAGGATGTTATATCATAAGCAATAATAAAAGTTATTCAAAACAAAAAAACCCTACATTTCTCTTTATAATGTACTTTGCCTATTTTTGGAGGGTTTATTGTCTTCCAATTACTGAGTTTTGAGAGTTCTGTATATATTTGCACACCAGTTCTTTATTAGTTATGTGATTTTAAAATATTTTCTTCTGCTATATAGCATCTTTTCACTCACTTGAAAGTGTCTTTTGAAGGCCAGAAGTAGCTAAGAAATGCTTGCTTAGCTATCTGAGAAGGCTTCTAAGAAGTATCTATGAAATACCTAAGAAATCTCTGCCTAACCTAAGGTCACAGAGTTTTATCCTGTGTTTTCTTTGAGAATTTTTATAGCAGGGAGAGGAGTGACCTCTGAAAACTCAAGGTGCTGAAAATTTTAAAAAGAATTTCTTTTGTAGCCAGTCTGTTACTGCCATGAAATATATTTCAAGGTTTTAGCCTCCCAGTTGGTGCTCTTTGGAATGAAAACAAATTGAAGCATTTGCCCAAGGAAAACAAAATTGACATGTTCAAATAATTTTAAAATTTCTTCTAAAGATTAGAATATATTAATTCAGTTATTATCTTGGACTCTGACTTCGGTACCAATGGATAACTGGAAGTTGAATATACATACTTCAGTAATGGAACTATCACTGAATGTTTTGTTTTGGTTAAAATTTTGGAAAACTCCAGAAAACTCATACTGGATTTAATTCATTCATCCAATATGTTTATGGATACCTACTATGCCAAGCACTGTACGAGGGGCTTTTATCCATTTTCATCTATAGATTTTCTTATTTGATCTTTCTAATAACTATGTGCTTTGGGCAAAAGAAACTTCATTTTTAAAGGTTAAAATTTGTCAAATTCTCACTGTTAGTGAGAGAGAAGCTTCTGAGAATCGATAATCTAGTTTAATAGTCAAGTACCTTGACAACAACAATACCCTAAGATAAATGTCATGATAGACATACGTTAGCCTCTGTGGCTCCCAGAGGGAACCTCTGGGAAGGCTTTTAAAGAATAGAATTTTGACAGGTAAATACTGGGCTTTGATAAGGGGAGGAGGTAGAATAGAAAAATTAGAGGGGAAATTTTTCACAGAGGCACACTGGCCAGAGAATGCCTGGTGTGGTCATGGAACAGCAAGTTGCTGTGATTTTTGCTAAGGGGATAGGATGGTAGGAGATGTCAACATGTGACAGGTTTGGGGGCAAGAAGAGATATACTGTAGCAGGCAACAGGGAGTCAGCAAAGGATTTAGACCAGGAGAATGGCTACATCAGAACTGTGTTTCAAGAAATATTTTTGCCATCCTTAACTAATCGATGGCAGTCTGTGTAGAAGGAGGAAAGAGATAGGAGGCAGGGAGGCTGGGGGAGGCCATCTTGGTAATGCTGGCAGGATGTGGGCAGGACTGGGAACTGACCAGGGGAAAGGGAGAATTTCACTTTTCATCCAAAATGTTCTCTCCTAAGCTCTTTTTGTACTCTATCCTTGGGAAATAATGTAGAATCAGCTAACTGCTTGATTTGAAAGGATTTTTTTTTAAATTTTTTGATTGATTGGCTTGTTCTTTATTTGACAACTAAAAAGGGCCTCTTTTTGTGCCGCAGAAAGATATAACCCAAGACGCTTCAGGAAAGTCACCTGACTTATGATGTAAAGAAAGGATGTGAGGGATGAGGGAGGCCAATTACTCCTCACTCAGGTACTGGAAAATAAAGAATGGACACAGAACACTACTGATCAGTAGGAGATCTGGAAAGGATGAGATCAATTGAATTTGATTGGATGGGGGTGCTTAATGATGACTCCCCAATTTTAAAAGCAAGTGGCGAGAAAAATGGTGGTCTTTCTGTGGGAAATAACACAATGATTTAGGAAGAGAGATAGTGTGCTTATTTTAAATAGGTTGAATTGGAAGACATTCCTATTCAAAAGATAGTCCAAATGATAGGACTTTCATGAGGAAATATCCAAAAGCTCTTCATGGGCCAGAGATAATGTTCATAAAAGAAGAAAGGGCTGAAAATAATAGTCAAAAGTTGTTCACATGGAGATAAAGCCATGTGTGGTTGTCTGTGCTGAGGGATAACATGGTGACAAATAGATGGTGACTAAGGGCAGACTTTTGAGGAAATTCAGCAGGAGAAGAAGACCCATCCAGAGAGACAGAAAGGACATAAGGCAAGAGACGCAGAATATGTAGAACTTCAGGGGTAAATAGAAGACAGGCAGAATTGGTAAAATACAGCAGACCTGTCAGTGAGCATGTGGATGCAGGGGCTGTGTTTGGTGATAAAGGATCAATTTTTCTGGGCAGGCTTTCCACCTTCTCCCTCCTGCCCCACTCCAGGCCATCTGGGTCTTTACTTTCTCTCTTGTTGCCTAACCTGAGCAGAGACAGCACTGATAATGGGTTAGCCAGCAGTTTACCCTTTGCATCAAATGTTCTCTAAAAGCAAGGACTGTGGGGCATCATCCCGCAAGGTGATACAGGATGGGAATTCGGGGAAAAATAAACATAATCCCTGATGGAGCAGTGTCAGGGGAGTCCAACTGTAAGGTATTATGGAACAGGAAGATGGTAGGAAATGAAAGAAGCACCTGATTATAGAAGGCAGGCAGGGAGTTATGAGAAGATTCCATTGCGAGAGAAACAAAAAGAATAAAATGTTTAATTATATGGTAAGAGAGAGTTGTCTATGTCCCTAAACTGCAGTGAAAGCCAATGGAAAGGAGGGGATGACGATGCAGGAAGAGGCGATGGCTAACTACTGATGGCGTGATTCTGAGAAGGGACTGGTAAACACAAGGGTGGGGTTAACCTCTGACTGACGGCAGGGTATGAGAGAAGGTGCAGAGAAATGTAGAGGTGAGAGGTAGGCATAGTGAATGGAATGGACTGTGAAAAAAGGAAGCCATGGCTTAATGGGAAACAAACAAGAAATCCCCCCAACCTGGAAGTTCTGATACTGCCATTTTATCAGTTGTGTGACCTGTGGTAAGTGACTTAACATTTTTTAAATGCCTCCACTTCCCTTTTGGTAAAAATGGGAGCACTAACTTCCAACTGCAAAACCAGGCGCCATTGTCCCACTTACTTGCAAGTGCCCTCTTAGATGTTTCTCTGTTTTTGTTTTAACGTTTCCTTTTCTGGGTAGAGGAGCCGGAAGATGGGCTGGATCTTATTAGCAAAGCAGGAGGTTGGGTCATCTGAGTACGGAGACAGTGATGCCATAAGCCTGAGAGATCACAAAGAGGTTTTAGCAGTGCTGGGCATAAGTTAGAGAAATTAACACAACGTGAATAAAGATTTGCAGGCACCAGTGAGGACCCAAGGGAGATTAGAGGGCAGGGAGGCCTGATAGAAGAGGAATCAGGCCCCTAGCTGAAGAAGTTTTGGGGAGGTGTGCTACAAACTTCGTTTTATTTTATTTATTTCTGAGACAGGGTCTCGCTCTGTCACCCAGGCTGGAGTGTAGTCGCCTGATCTTCGCTCATTGCATCCTTGACCTCCCAGGCTCAAGCGATCCTCCCACCTCAGCCTCCGGAGTAGCTGGGACCACAGGCCCGCATCACCATGCCCGAATAATTTTTGTATATTTAGTAGAGACGCGTTTTCGCTATGTTGTCCAGGCTGGCCTCGAACTCCTGGGCTCAAGCGATCCTCCCGCCTCGGCCTCCCAAAGTGCTGGGGTTACAGGCATTAGCCACCGCGCCCGGAACAAGCTTCGTGTTTGAACCTGGCTCACATCTCGGGAGGCTTGGGGATGGGCTTCAGCGAGTTCGGAGGCCCCGGAAATCGCCCAGATGTATTAATTTCCACAAGACTTGCAACGGGTTCTCAACACAACGGTTAGGAACCAGTAATCAGGGCTTGGTAAGCCCTCCGGGAACGCGAGCCGCCTCCCAGCTTTTCGCCCTGACGCGCTCTAGCAGTGCTGCAGAAACTTCAGGAACTTCGTTTTCATCTCTTCCCCGACGCACGACCTCGGGCTTTTTCTTTTTGTAAACTGCTGAGTGTGGAGAGGCCCCGCCCTTCCGCGCCCAGCCGCGGGGCCGCCCCTGCCTCCTCCCGGTGCTCCTTCCCGGACGGCGCTGGAAGCCCTGGCGGCGGCGGCCCATGGGGCCCTTGGCGCTGCCCGCCTGGCTGCAGCCCAGGTAGGGCGCTCGGCCGAATCCCGAGGGGAGGGGGCCCGGGTGGAAGGTCTGGGGGCGGGAGCTCCCCTCTGCGGCGGGCGGGCGGGCGGCACCGACCAGGAAGGCACAGCGCTACCGTGCCCAGGCACCCCTTGGAGCTCGTGCAGGTATTTGCTTACTTACCCCTCTTGACCACCCTAGGAAGCAGGCTCTGTTATTTTCTCCATTTTACAGATGAAGAAATGGGAAGGACAGGCTGCATGGCTACCCCTGCCCTTGTGAGCCCTCTGCCAGTACTTCCCTCCCCCACCAGGGGCCCTTCTCTTGACTTTCTCAGATGCAGAGTTGCGGGTGATTTTTAGATCTAACAGCCCTGGAAACACCTATCACACGTATGGATTTCAGGGCCCTGTTGTGGGGGGGAACAGATTCAGTCATATAGCGGTAGGGCCTGGGGGGTGTATATGTTTAACGCACAAACCAGGTGATCCTGATACAAGCTGAAGGAGCATGTCCTCTTCCCAAACTCTTTAGCAGTTCCTGCCTTATGGGGGGTGTCCCCAGATAAAATCATTCTGTCTCCCAGCTTATTTTCCTTGTTTCTCGGAGGTTTTGCATCTCCAAGGAGGAGTAAATCTTGACAACACTGGCAGGGCCACTCCTGTCACTCTTCTGAACACCCAGGGAACATTTCAAACAGTGCTTTTTCCTAACTCCCTCAAACCATGTATCTGTCAATCTTCTCTTAGTCATCTCCCCAGCAACTCACAACACATTGTTAAACCCAGCTTGACTTCCCTTTTCTGGTATGAGCAACTAAATTGCTTTCTATGTGTATCTGATGAAGGAAACTATCTACCCTTGCAAAATATTAATAGGCAGTGGCAAGATGTTAATACTAACCCCAATCACATAATGTGTTCAAAAGTCAGGTGTGTCCAGTTACTGAATTATCCAACATTTGGATTGCTCCCATCCCTACCCCCCTTCAGAACTAAAACACTTGTGTCTCAAGTTTCGCACTTAGCAAGCTGAGCTACTGGAACACATAGTGACACGTCAACCCCTCTGCACACATGGATTTTTTGTTGTTGTTTTATTTTTTATTTATTTTTGAGACAGAGTCTTGATCTGTCGCCCAGGCTGGAGTGCAGTGGCACTATCTTGGCTCACTGCAGCCTCTGCCTCCCGGGTTCAAGTGATTGTCTTGCCTCAGCCTCCTGAGTAGCTAGGTAGCTGGGATTACAGGCATATGCCACCACATCCGGCTTTTTAATTTTTTTATTTTTGTAGATATGAGTTTTTGCCACGTTGGCCAGGCTGGTCTTGAACTTCTGGCCTCAAGTGATCCAACCCGCCTTGGCCTGCCAAAGTGTTGGGATTATATGCATGAGCCACTACACCCAGCCTGTTTTTTTTTTTTTTTTTTTTTTTAAGAATATTCAAAGCCGCCTTCGCAGTGGTTTCTTTTATTCCTTGGTGAGCAGCAAGGTTAGAACTTTATCAAAGATGAAAGCAGATTTTGAAAAAGCACTATATTTGGTTTTAAGCAAACTCACTCTACAGATGGTCCATGACTCACATTTTTTTAAACTTTGTGATGGTGTGAAAATGATATGTATTCATTAGAAACCGTACTTCAAATTTTGATTTTTAATCTTTCCCCAGGCTAGCGATGTGCAGGTATGATACTCTTTCATGATGCTGGGCCGCAGCATCGGGCCACAGCTCCCAGTTGGCCGCAGCTCCCAGTTGGCCGCAGCTCCCAGTTGGCCGCATGATCAGGAAGGTAAACAAGCAGTACTCCACAGCGCACTGTGTTGCCAGATGATTCCGCCCAATTGTAAACTAATGTAGGTGTTCTGAGCAAGTTTAAGGTACACTAGGCTAAGCTGTGATGTTCTGTAGGTCAGCTGTATTACATGCATTTTCAACTTATGATATTTTCGGCTGATGGGGTGTATCAGGACGTAACTTCATTGTAAGTGAAGAAGCATCTGTACTTACTTTAGCAGGTAGTGTAGGCTATGGCTCCCTTCAAAATCTGATATGTACTTGGGGGTAACCAGATAAAAGACTGATATGGAACAGTTTTCTTTTGCTCTCTCAGGTTGGCCAGTACATTAAAGGACATGTGTACAGTATGAAAGGATGATTATAAAAGAAGTGTTTAATGGTATTTTCCTGTATTTCTAGGTATAGGAAGAATGCCTATCTTTTCATCTATTACTTAATCCAGTTCTGTGGCCACTCTTGGATATTTACAAATATGACAGTCAGATTCTTTTCATTTGGAAAAGGTAAAACTCCAAAACAGTTTTTTTATTTTTAACTTTTAATCCTTGTTTTCGCCTCATCCTGCTTAAATTTCTATACATCTCAACCTAATATCCTTCTCTAAAATTTGTATTTTTCAGCAACCATGTTTATTGCAAAACCTTCTTGGAGAAGGGGAAGGTGGGATAAGTAAGGGAGAGGGATTTGGCTTCCCTCTGAGCAGGCAGTTTGCCTGAAAACAGAGATGGATGGCACTGGGGTGGCATCATTTTGTTCCTTTTCCATTCTGCACCAAACCTTAGCAGATTTCTTGTGTTTTGAGGAAATCTCAGCATAACATTTTATGCAGAGAAATCAGGAATGAATCAAATTCTTCCAGTGTTTGTATTATTCCCCAGGTTTGAGGTAACTGGAGACTACTAGTAAGTGAAATACAAATTTTATATTCCCCAGGCCTCTATTTGGTCCCTTGAAGAAGTAATATGTAAATGACACACTCTGTAGATGTGTACCACTTATATAGTAGTCAGCATTAATGGTTCAAGTCATAAACTTCCTCTAGTTTCCTGAAAAGTAAAGTCACTGTTGGGTGACTAAATGACTATCAAAATAACATTCTCTTCATGTTCCATCCGCACATGGGTAAGTGTCATCACAGTTTACAACTGTTGAGTGACTTGACAATCTAAGCAACTGCTGGCTTCAGCTAAAAACAAATGTTTAGAATGTAGCTGGGAAAAGTCATGCTGTGCTCATCATTTCAGACGTGTGTATCATAAGAAGTTATTCTACTTGCAAGGTCCCATAGCTATTTTATGTTACTTTTTCTTACTGAAAATCTACAGCTATATTCTCACCTTTGTTAAGGCCCTCCAAAGATATAACCTAAAGCTTGAGTTTCAACTACAAATGTTGAGAGTTTTCAAGCAGAGGAAAACACAGGTGATGGGAAAACTTCTTTTATATTTTTATTAAAACTTCTTTTATATTTTTAGTAAAAAGCCATCACTTCTGGCCCTTTGAGGTTTGCTGAGGCGGTGTAGGCATGTGACATGTCATTTGCCACACAAGCCATGGACTCTCTTATGCTGCCTTACCTTTCCAGTGAGAAAAGTTGCCTCAGCGAGTATTTCTTTTTCTTTTCTTTCTTTCTTTCTTTTTTCTTTTTTTTTGAGATGGCGTTTCCCTCTTGTCATCCAGGCTGGAGTGCAATGGTATGATGTCACCTCACTGCAACCTGTCTCCCAGGTTCAAGTAATTCTCCTGCTTCAGTTTTCTGAGTAGCTGGGATTACAGGTGCCCGCCACCATGCCCGGCTAATTTTTGTATTTTCAGTAGACACAGGGTTTCACCACGTTAGCCAAGCTGTTATTGAACTCCTGACCTCAGGTGATCCGCCCACCTCGGCCTCCCAGAGTGCTGGGATTATGGGTGTGAGCCACCGTGCCTGGCTCGGCGCATTTCTTTCTCAATTATTACCCTGCCATTATAATTGTAGAAGCTACTTATTATTAAAGAAACACAACTGATTTATTCAGGAGACGGACTGAAAACAACCAAGTGTGGATTCAGTACAATTTTTGAATCAATGTATAAATTACGTAAGTAGCTCAACAGAAACCTGAAACCCGGAACGTGTTATACCTGCTACCTTCTTCCTTCACAGAGCTGTGTAATTCATAATGCTTTGGTACAGTGAATGCAGGGTGGTGGATAAGAGCATGGACTGTGTGCTTCAGGAACCACCTCTGAAATGGGGATGATGATAATAGTGTCTATCTCGTGGGGCTACTGAGAAGAGAAATCCTTAGTGCTCAATAAATTATCATTGTGTGAATTACCACTGGGCAGTAAAGAGAGCAAAATCTTCCCTACAAGTTTCTAAACATGGCAGGATTTCATTTTAAAACTTAAAGCAACACATTTATCCTATGTAGAGGAACACTTGTTTCCCTTCCATTTCAGCTCCCTCTAAGTGCACAGCATTTCATTTGAACCCTCTGCAATGCAGACCCCAAAAGTCCTGATCGGAGGCCCAAGTTCCAGTGTTTAACAAAATCCAGAAAAGCACTAACCAAATATGTATAGAAACAATAACATGCCATTATTAGTGTCATTTCCATAAAGTTTCTGTGAAATCATATTTTTTCTCATTTTTGTCATTTCCTTGTCAGTGGAGGAACTGTGAGCACAGTGTCTTTAACAAGTTTGCTTCTATCTACACTTGAGGTGGTCTAGATTCTAGGAGGTTACTCTTATGTGGGAATTGCTTTATAATCTTAGAAGTGGGGAATAAATGCTACATGTACGTTTGCCCATGAAATCTTTCTCAAGCTTCTACTTCTTTTGTAACAGAAGCAATTAAAATACACTACAGTATGGGGTGCTTTTTTTGTTTGCATTGTATTCTTAATAATTTAGTAGCTACTTAAGGAATTTTTCACATATACAATGAAAAAGGAAGTGAATACTCTCCATTTGATTTCAAAGTGCTGCATAAATTTGGGTTATAATCCAGTTTTTACTTACTATATCTGCATTTTTAACCCATGGGACACAGATTCAATGGTTGACACTTTTTATGCTATTGGACTTGTGATGCGACTTTGCCAGTCCGTTTCTCTCCTGGAATTGCTGCACATATATGTTGGCATTGAGTCAAACCATCTTCTCCCAAGGTTTTTGCAGGTAGGTTTGAATCACATTATTATTATAGAATCTGTTTCATATTTACATTTTTTCTATGTACAGCTTCTCCTGACTTTTTGGCAGGTAGAAAGCCAACCCATGTCTTAGGTCACCGATAAGGAGAATTACTTTCATGGAAGGACAACCTTATTCTAAAACTGCACAATTAGAACAATCAGTTGGAAACATTCAGGGCAGTGATGCTTGCTGATCTTGCAGCACTGCATTGGTCCTATCCTGGAAGGAGATTTCATAGCCACTTGCTACTCTCACCATATCACTGCCTGGGGTAGTAGAAGACAATGATAAGGCATAGGATTGGAGACTTGGGTTTGAGGCCTGGCTTTTCTGCTTACCACTATGGGATCATACCACACCACCCACAACCATTGGGCTGTTGAGGGAAAGGACACCACAAATAATACCTGGCACACAGTAGATGATTAAAAAACAAAAAGCTTCCTTCATCTACATCCAGAGAATAGAGTACTCCTAGGCCATTCTTGCTCATTCCCTCTTTTTTACTAAACATCAATGGAAAGGGGAGATAATTTGCATTTATCTAATACAGCATCTAAGCGTAGACTTGGGGAACACACAGACCTGGATTCAAATCCCAGTTCTACTTTGCACTAGTTGTATACCTTTAAACAAGTCATTTAATCATTCTGAACTTCATTTTCTCATGTGATATGAAAATAACATGTATCTTATGAAGTAACTGAGAAAATGGATAAGTTCCTGGCACTTAGTTAAGAATACAATACTTGGTAGCTATTACTACTATTTTCTTAACTATTCTTTGTTCCCTCTTCCATGCCTCTAGCCCTAGATTACCATGTTCTTTGTAAAGGCAGGTTGAAGGAAGATGGGAAATTTACTAGTAGTGACTCCATGTAGAAAATCATTGCTGGATAAAGGCAAAAAAAAATAAATAAATATTTTCTGTAGATTTTATATAGTTCATATAGTTGTCCCTTTCTTATGGGACGGTAAAGGTCAGGCAACTATAAGAACATGAGTTTAAAGTCTACAGAAATAGGTATCTACATGAGTATAATTTTAGGTGTCCTCAAAATAAATTTGAAAAATTGATCATTTTGACAATTTCACATTGTAAAACTAATTAAAATATGTCAGAATTTTATTGAGTTGCCAGCACCTAGCAAAG